TGATAGATCAGCGTACGGGTGGTTCAACGTGCTGCCCGAAGGAAGCGTGGACTCATGGCAAGATCTTTCCCAACGCTTCCTCACCCACTTCGCCGGAAGGAAGCGCATGAAGAAACATTTCTCCCATCTCCTCTCCGTCAAACAAAAACACGATGAATCACTCCGGTCTTTCATCGATCGATGGACGAAGGAGACAGACGAGGTTGAAGGTGCCGATGAGCGCACCCTCCTCGTCCTCTTCCATGGCGTTCTCCGCAACAGCCACTACGCATAGAGCCTCATCACTGACCCGCTGAGGTCATACACTAAGGCACTCAAGCGAGGGAGCTTGTACGCTGACGCCGATGAGCTCCACTCCCGCAAGAAGGATGGAGGTCAGCCATCAAAGAAGACAAACAATGCGTCGGCTCCAAGCGCATTCTCGGCCGGAGGCCATGTCCGCCAGAGCCGGAAGGAGCGCCCATGGCAGCCGAGGACGGACGTACCAAGGACTCCACTCACACTATGACACCGCTCCCAATTTAAACTTGGATTAATTAATCCATTAGTATTAAAATGTATTTGAAAGTACACATACCAAATTCGACGAGGATGACTAGTCGAGTTCGCGAATATTTATTCACATTGAAAACTAGTTACAAGTATATTAATCATACTAGAAATGATTAATTGATTTAAAATTAATTCCAATTAATTATATTGTGTGTCGGACCCTAAATATTGAGAGTGACTGACTAATATATTCTTGGACCATGCTAAATTAATTAAAAGTCCAAGGATAAGGAAATGGATTACATATGAATGTGTGGGCCGAATAAAAGGTAAAGGATTTGATGGATAAGTGTACCCGTGGGGTATCTATCCGGGGGTTACTGCGGGGAGTAACTAGAGAGAAGTCAGAGCAAAAGTAAGAAAGAGGATATATATTGCTGAGAATGTGTTGAGCGTATTGAACATGAATTACAAATGGGGAAAGGGGTGCTATTTATAGTAGTAATAATTGCCAGACAGGGACACGTGTCATTATTCGGGTGGTCGAGGGGTCACCTCAACGGGGTGGCACTGGCACTCGCATGTGGCCGCATTAAATGCGGTGGTTGGATGTGACGTTTGTACTTGGTACGTTGATCCGTAGCATGTGGGTGGGAGATTCTGTCGAGGAGATGCCTTCGGCCGTAGATGATTGGCCGAAGGCTCTTCATACCGGGGGCCTCTAGGTGCCGAGGGCTCTAGGTGCCGAGGGCTACTATTTTTGCCGCTATCTCCCAGACACTTTGAGGGCTGTAAAGAAGCCGTACTGTAAGTTCATGAGCCTTTGACCAGGGGGGCGAAGGCACACCAGTGTTCGTCGTGGGCTGCTTGGCACTTGGGGCGCTGTGATTTGGACCTGATGTGCTTCCTGGGCCTATTGGGCCTCTGCTACAGTAGTGGGAGTCTATGGACCGGGGGTTCCTGGGCCATATACTCCATCAAGAGTCCCTCACTCCTTTTGCCGAAAGGTACTTGAGGGAAAAGGAGTAATTGCGGTTGTCCTTTGATGCTGCCTTGCTTGTAGCTTGTAAACCTGTGAGAGCTCTGTGTTTGCACGTGATTCTACCGGCGGCAGCCCTGCAGTCCCCCATACTTTGGGACAGAAGGGTCATGTTGCTGCTTTGGGGAGATTTTTGACATTTTGCATTTTTGTGATTTTTCCCGAAGGGGTCCTCCAGTCCCCCACTCCTTGAGGCACATGTAATGTGGTGAAGAGGAGTAGAATAGTGCCCGCTGTCGCATAGGGCCGAGGGTTGATACTTTTCGTTTCATTTTGGGGGATGCCTCGTTAAAAACATCATTAGGAAAAACCCTGTGGGAAAAAATCCTAATGAGGGAAAAAGAGTGCACCGAATTCCCCCAATGATGACTCAAAAAGGTGAAACCTTGGTCTGAGATGAAGGACAAAGTTTATGCCGAAGGCTGCCCTTGATCTGAGGGTGCGTGGTTTGTTTTACCGAAGGCACTTTGTAAATATCCCGGGAGATGCCGAAGGGGAGTCCCTCAATCCATGGGGTTGAAGGCGTGATGAATGTAGGTGGTAGTTGTTGTGTTGCCGAGGGGGTTCTCTAGCTACGACAAGCTGGGGATGAGGGCACCCGAGGGCCTTGTTGTTGTACGTTGAAGGTTGTCCACCTAAGAAGGGTGTTGAGTCCGATGTTCCTGAGGGGTCTCCTTGTTGCGTGGCCGGGGGGGGGGGGGGACAGTTGGTGAAGGCTCCCGAGGGGTCTACCTGTTTGTTAAGCCATGGGCTCTTGATTGAGAAAGCCTGAAGGCACTTGTGATGTTGTATGAGGGGTACCGGCCGGGAGCACCTCCGTGTTTTCAAAATATAGATGTTGCAATCAGACCGTTGGCACATGGAACGTGTAAAAAGTAGTCGTTGGAGAAGACTTCCACGTGGCGTGTGGCCGTTGGTTAGCTTTGGGTGGGCGTCACCGGTTGGCGGAAGGGGCGGCACGTAATGATGGCTTTCGTAACCGGAGGCCCGATTTTGGGCCCAAGCCCGGATCTGGGTGCCTATAAATACCCCAAGGCCAAGGCCATTTTCCTTACGCGATCATACTGTAGCGAAGCTCTGGCCAAATATTTCTAGAGAGAGAAAGTTCCCTTCGGTCAAACCAAGTGCTCAAGGTCAGTTCTTCCCTCGTTCCTCCCTTCAACTGCATACTTAGTTTTTCCTGCCTTAGGTTAAGTGCTAGGGTTGGTTAGGAAGCCTTCGTCCTTTAGCCTACGACCTTTAGTTTTTGAGAATGTCATCTGCAAGCGATTCGCAAGACATCTCGAGGGAGCCTTCAGTTGAGGCGGAAACTTACTCTGATGTTGAGCCTTCGAGCGAGGAGCCGTCAGCGGGTGATGCTGCTGCTGTGGCCATGGAGGTGGAGAAGGACCTCAGGGCCGAGGTCGAGGCCGAGGACTTTGAACAAGTAAACGAGGACGAGGAGATGGCCCTCGCCGTTCAAGTAGCTGAGCAGGATGAGCAAAAAGAGAGGATGAAGGTCACTGTTGCCGTCCTTCCCCCCGTAATGCGGGTGAGGCCAGCACCTCCCGGCCCCTGAACCCGACGCCCCTCAGGGTTGCTCCGGGAAAGAAGAAGAAAACGAAGGTTGCCATTCCCAAGAAGAAGGGTAGCGTCACTGATCAGGGAAGGCCTATCGATCTGCCCGAGGACTATTCCTTCTTAAACACCGCCGCCCTCGAAATCAAGTCGAAGGCTGATATGGCAGAATGTTATGTCACACAATTGCACGTGGGGCCCTCGGGCACAGTAATACTGCCGGGACCAGAAGACCTCCTCTCCCGGGCTCCCGTAGGGTGTATAGGGGTGCATATCCTCTCGGTCTCCATGGGCCTCCGGTTCCCCTTGCACCCGTTTCTTCGTGAGTACCTCCGGTTCGTGGGTCTACTTCCTTGCCAACTCACGCCCAACAGTCATTCTTACATCACCAGTTTCCTTCACCTCTGCCGAACCCGGGGGTGGCCCCCAGCTTGGACCAATTCTTCCAGAGCTTCAATCTCTGCCGAGGGGGCCATACAAACGCCGAGGGGTTTGCGAATTTGCAGCAGGTAGCCCAGTGGAAGCTGTTCACCGAGGCGCCCTCCTCAAATAAAGGCTGGAAGGAGCGATGGTGCTACGTCAGGCAAGTTGAGAGCCCCTTCCCGAGGGAGTTGCGAGACCGTTTTAGGCGGCATGAGAAGATAAGAAGTGCCGCCCTCGAGAAAGATGGCCTTAAGCTTGCCAAGATCCCGGAGGGGCGCAACAAGAACATGACGATCAAGGAGTGCACCCTCGAGGAGGATCTGTATGCCCTCGGCTTCCGGCGGTACCCCTACCTAGGGGAGATAGATGAAAAGTTCCCCCTCCTTGATCAAGCCTTCGAGATCGCCGAAGGTGATTACCGAGGGCCCCTGAGTTTCGTACTTAGGTTATTTTTTTAGTACTTCTGATATATTCCCATGCTTTCTACCCTCCGGGCTTAATTCTTTATTGTTGCTTTGCAGGTGTTGGTATGAATGCGAACGCCCTCTTCGCTCTGAAGAAGAAGAAGGGCAAGGCCCAAGCTCAGAAGAAGGACCCTTCGGGCCAGCAGCCCGTTGAGGCCTTCTTCCAAAAGGAGATACTGGAGCCCTATGATGTGGCCACCGCCGCTGATGTGGCCGGGGGGGGGGGGGGGGGGCACGAAGAAGAAGAAGGGTAGCAAGGGGATTGGGCCCCTTGCCAAGAAGCAGAAGGTTGTCGGGGATGTTGTTGAGAAGGCGGCCCCCATGGTGATTATAGAGGATCGGTCCTCTGCTGAGTCCCCGGCCTCTGCCGCACTGATGGCCCCTTTCAACGACCCTTCGGGGGAATTTCCTCGAGAGACCTTGCAGGTTCCCCTCGTCAAGGGGATTGCAGTGATGTATGGCACAATAGAGCCGAAGGCTTTTCTGGGGAGCATCACCTCGGATTTGGATAGAAAGGCCCTCCGGACCTTTGATGATGAGGCCCTCGAGAACAAGATCCTCTGGTCTTCCCTCACCGTAAGTCTCTTTTCCTCATTCTTATTTTTCATTCCCTTAGTACATCTTGGATGATAGCTTGACTCCCTTGATCATTGTTTACAGGCCTGCATAGCCCTCAGCGAGCAAGCCCGACAGCTGGAAGAATGGCGCCTCCAGAGAGCCCGTCAGACCCACCTTGCTTGATGAAATCAGCAGATGTCAGGGGATTGACGAAGAATGTCAGAAGATCCGTGAATAATTAAAATTACATATTCAAAAACAAAAACCCTATAAAGTTGAAAGGTCCAAATAAATTTTAATTAAAAACTGATATCCTAATTTAGTGAACAAAACAATTCTTCTTGACTCAAATAGTCAATTTTACAACTCAATTTGAGAGGGAAAAGAGTATAAACTATCTGAATTAAAACAGGCCACAATCATCAAATTGGGCAAAGCCAAATATAGGCCCAATATATTAATCCGGCCGGCACTTGGTATCATATAGGCGTACGCAGTATAGGGTTTTATAAAGATTTAAAAACGAAAGATTTCGAAGGGAGACGGAATTCATATTTGGGAGACGGGCAAACGAACACATGCACAACCAAGAATAGTTAGTCTGCTAAGTCAACAATGCCTAAATCCAAGCGTAACAGACCAGGTTAGCGCTACATCTTTGTTTTAATGGTGATTTTTCATGATATCGATCGAAGAATTTGAACTTTTTTCATGAAATTTACTCACAGTTTTGCCTATAAAATTGAAACTCGCCTTGATCTTCTTTGATTTCTTTGTTGTATACTTGATATCAGTGACTCTATCCAAGACGAAGAAGAAGGATAGATCCCACAAAGAGAACATTATAAATATGATCAGGGATTCTGCTGAGAAGCATACTTTCGTTTACGTATTTGGTTTCGAGAACATGAGGAATCTGAAGTTTAAAGAGTTCAGAGAGCAGCTCAAATCTTCTAGCAGGCGAGCTTAAGTCATGCTTTGGCAAAATTTGAGATGTTTAAGTGGTTCGAAATTGAAATTTAACATTTGAGCAAAGCTTTTTATAAGAAAGAAATGTGTCTAGTCCATCTTTTTAAAACTAAGCAAGAATCGTAGTCTGCACTCTTCAACATCGCGTACGACTCTTTAAAAAATTAGTATATGGATATCACGTTTAATTATTTTGAGATGAATGCCATACGTAAGCTGTAACCTGTTTGGCAATTAAAAAGGTTAAAACACTGGTTTATTCAGTTTAGGCTTAATTGTATCGACTCATATACAGATTTTGCGCTATATTCTTGCCAGTTTCAACTATAATTGAATTGCTTGAAGATGTGTGGTCTAAACTCTAAAAAGTAAACTTCCTTTCCATTTTCCTTGTCTTCAGATTTTTTCTTGGTTCAAATAAGGTTATGCAGTTGGCATTAGGTCGCTCAGCTGCTGATGAAATTAAACCGGGTCTTTATAAGATATCTAAGGTACATGTTCATGTATGATTTTTTGCAGGTCTAAACCTTATTTTTAACTTGTTGACCCTGATCTTTGTACAGCTATTACGTGGAGATTCGGGACTTCTATTTACTAATTTGCCTAAGGAAGAGATTGAAAGGTATCTCTTTGCTGGCATCTAATGATGAGTATCCAGTGCATAACTTATTTACTGGACACTGGTTTGAAGAAGATTAACCAATACTTAGCACTTCACTTTCTCAGTGAGACCATCTGGTTAAGAACAAAGTACATTATAAAGATATTTGTAATTTCCCTTTTTATTTTACATTGCCATTTCTAAAGAACTAAACAACTTTAACACATAGTGGGTTGTACGTCTCTCAAATAGTTTAGGCACATGTAGTTTATCCTCCATTTCTTCATATTGTTTGATTTTAATTAGTTCATTCAGACTTTAAAAAACTTTTCCAGATTATTCAACCTTTATGAAGAATATGACTTTGCTAGGACTGGGAGTCTTGCAACAGAAAAGGTATGCCCTAATGTTTATGTGGCACCAGTTTGGTATCCTTTGTCAGAAAATTATGTTTATCCACACACATCTGCGTTTGTTTGAAACCTTTGTACTAGGTTCTATCTTTTATGTTGAACTGTTGAATCCATCTTTAACCTTATAGGTGGAGCTAAAAGAAGGCCCTCTGGACCACTTCACTCATGAGATGGAACCATTTTTGCGCAAGCAAGGAATGCCTGTTCGGTTAAACAAAGGTAGTTACCCTTTTCTTTCTACCTTATTGTGTAAATGTATAATGTATGAATATATGGTTACTATGGAAGATATATAACATTATGTTTCATGTCTACCTAGATTAACAAATTTTGCATCACGCTGCAAACAGGTGTTGTTGAGCTAGTTTCAGACTATGTCGTCTGTGACGGAGGGGAACCTTTATCCCCGGAAGCCTCTCGTATACTGGTTCGTTTTGTCTCTATCCAATCTTACATCTTTCTGTGTTCAAGGTTTATATTTAATAAATACGAATATCACATTTGTATAGTCATGCATCGGTTATTATTGCATATTTTCTCCCAGGTGATCAAGAAAAAATTACATATTTATGACTAATAGAGATTGTTTACAAAAATGTGACTAGCTACTATAGTAGTAACTTAATCATAGTAATTTATGTTCAGTTTTTACTTAAATGACCATGGCACTATAGTGTAGCAACTATAGTCATATTTGTGTAAATAAATTTTATTTTAATAATATTTTTGAAAAAAACTCATCAAGAAATATGTACTACCAGGTTTGTCATTTGTATGACAGACTAGACTGCTACTTATTGGTGCAAATTTTGGTTTGATTTGGCTGCACCCAATCAAAAGTAATTTGAGTGAAAGCTGAAACATATGTAATTTAGTTTTAGTTGGTAATGTTTATCCTAAACTGTATTTTGATTAAAACCTAACTAAAGAAGAGTGAGTAACACATTAAATCCCCAATATAAAAAAAAGATTCCCTAACTGCACTAGACAAACAAACCAGGTCTTGTTTAGATATGGCTATCAATTTCCCACTTTCCCAACCTGTTTTAAACTAAACAATACCGTTTTAAAAACCTGACTGAAGGTCAATTTACCATCCCTATATCTTTGTGCTGGCTTAGGTGGAGCCCAACAGGGATTCAAAGAATAAGAATTCTGAAACATGATAAGAGGCATACTTACTTTCAACTTCTTGTTATGCAGCGTCTGCTTGGCATCAAGATGGCTACTTTTAAGCTACATCTGATATGCAGGTGGAGCCCAGATGAATTTGAAGTCTATAGAGAAAATTTAGAAGATTCTGATGTGGAATCTTCATAGAGAATTTAAAACATGTTCTCTTTGGTAAACATCCTCTTTTGTCTACCAATGATGTGATTTGGAGAATGTTTTGTTAAACGCCTTTAGGCAATTGCAGGCGATGCACTCCGTGGTGTGAGCATCATTTCTGTTTTGGGTCTGACAACCTTTGCTTGCACTAGGGAGTGCTGAATCTTAGAGATGGTGCAATGTAGTACGTTTTTATGTTCTCCTGCAAGAGATTCTCAGTAATGTGTTTTATGCGTTTTTTGTCTTTTATTAGTGTATTGAGTGTTTTGGAGCTAGAGCCAGTTTGTAACCCTAAACTTGAATGATTTCACTACAGAAATTGTGATTGAAACAATAGAATTGATTTTTTGGAAGAAGTGTCTTATATCGAAAATATGGAATAATCTAGTACTTCATACATAATTACATATTTATAACTAAAATAAAATTGTTTACAAAAATGTGACTAGTGACTAGATTCACTGGAGTAGTAATGAAATCATGATAATTTATGTTCAATTTTTAAATTTAATTTATCACATCAATACATTGTAGTAATTATTAGTCATATTTATGTAAATAAGTTTTATTTTAATAATATTTTTGCAAAAACCCATAATATTCACTCTCAATTGTCAACCTTTGAATTAGATTGATAGTTAATCATCTTTAAAGAAGCAATAATGCAATATGATTCAGTTTATCATATAATGAACACAATTGAACATTTGAACTAAAAGTGATCAAAACATACCTTCCATCACTTGACCCAAACTCTTGAGTGTGACTAAAATAAAACAAAAACACAACAAAAAATCATCCTGACCAATGCAAAAACTGAAACGAAAACCAAAACTAGTGGAGCTGAATTGCTTCCCTAGAGGCTAGAACCACAGGAAACTCGAGCTTTTCTTCTTGTGAAGAAGACTATCTCAGAGGGGTAATCAACACTTGCCTCCTCTTCGTTTTTGGCTCATCTAGAGCCATTTCGTCGCCATTTTGATCCTTTTTCTCTTGCTCCTCCTACAGACGTCCTCTCTTCTAGTCACTCGAATCATCCCTCATATGGGTTGTTTCTGCTTCTCCTGCCATACCCTCTTCAGTTTTCGTCAGTATCACTATCCAGGCATCCAGCCATGACTCCCTCCGTTTGTCCAACTTATCACTATCCCGCCTTTACTCAGGGTTCTTTTTGTTCGTTCCTGCCGATGAAATTCCCTCTTGAACCAACCATTTGTTAACAACTGTCGAACGAAGTTTCCCACCTCCCGCTCTAAGCCCAGACCCAAAAGGTTTATTTAGGACCTCATCCCCCTTTTCGTATTCCATCGGGCAAAACTTATTTGCGAGGTCGATAACTTCACACACAAAGCAAAAATTAGGCAAATCTTCATATTAGAAATCCACCCAATAGCCATTCCCCTTTCCTTTTCTGATTGTTGTTCTAGTCTTCAGAGATTTTCCTACATCCAAACAAACTCTAATACACATGTAGGCATCCCATTTTCCTTCAAACTGACTCTTATCCAGGTTACCCCTCTGTCCCAAAAAATTCTTCTCACTTACCATTTTGGGATACCCCAAAAATTTCTACCCATTTTCCTTTTGGAAAGTTTTGTGTGGCTCACATTCATTTATCTTTTTCTTACTTAACCACAACCATACATTTCCAGTTTATTGTTACTTTCTTAATAAGCATGCCAACTAAATCTGGGAAGTATTTTTTGGGACGGAAGTAGTAATAAAATTTCAAACATAATTATCAATCCTTTTCCCCACCTCTAATGTCATAAAGCCATATGACACATTGTGTACTTGAACACATAATTCAGCCATATTTAAAGGGACCCTAAAGGCTATACCCCCTGCTTAATAGTCTTTAGAATCAACAAATTTTGCTCAAACAACCACGGGGCATTCCTCAGAACACAATTCTTATCAACAATATTATAAAAAGTAAAAAGATACATTTTATCCTTGATTTCCTTGATCGAGACTCATCTACCACCGGAAAAATCATTTGATCATTGTCCGCCCTTCCGCCATCTTCACCATCTTCAAAGACCATTTCTTCCTCATCCCCTCTTATATCCAATTTGTCATGCCGATTGACTATGGTCTCCATCTGAGAAATGACCGGTGAGAAGCCTCCACACCTAGCGCCGCTCCTGTGAAGCCTTCGTACAAGACGGAGGCAGAAAAACCTATCCGCACAAAGTCATTGTCGACTTGCGGAGAAACAAAACCTTACGTCGAGGGAGAGATTGCCTTATGAGCTTCATAAGTCAGTCTGACGTTGCTGTAAGATAAAATAAATCTCACCACGCCACTGAGGGAGTTGGAAATATTATTTATATAAGAAACAAGTAGATCAAGTAAGTCACAAAATAATAAATAAACAAATACAATTAAATATTTCTAACACCCCCACAAGGTAGACGTTGGGGGAAGACCAACACGAAGCTTGAAACATAATAATTCAAACAAAGAGCGATGAAGAGTTTTCGAGAAGACATCGGCAAGTTGGAGATATGTCGAGATATGACGTACAACAAGATCCCTAAAAGAGACCAACTCATGAATAAAGTGATAATCTAAATCTATATGCTTAGCAGGTGATGGATAGTCTACCCGGGGGTATGTATCCGAAGGGTTACTGCGGGGAGTAACTAGAGGGAAGTCAGAGCAAGTAAGAGAGAGAAAGTGTAATGAATATATGAGTTCAAAGCGTATTCAAGATGGTTTACAAAGGGGAAATGGGGTGCTATTTATAGTAGCAATAAATGCGAGATGGGAACACGTGTCAAGCATCCGACGGCCGAGGGGTCACATCAACCGGGTGGCATCGGCATTCGCATGTGGCCGCATTTAATGCGGCGGTTGGATGCGACGTTGTACTTGGTACGACGATCCAGGTGCATGTGGAGAGGATATTCTGTCGAGGAAGGTGCCCTCGGCTGTAGATGATTAGCCGGGGGCTCTTCATGCCGGGGGCCTCCTAGTGCCGAGGGCTCTAGGTGCCGAGGGCTACTGATTTTCGCCGTTTTCTCCCAGTGTCTTCGTATGCCTGAAAAAGCCGTTTTGTGAGTATCTGGAGCCTTCGGCCAAGGGGCCGAAGGCACCCCCAGTGTGCATTGTTGGCTGCTTGGTACTCGGGGCGCTGTGATTTGGGCCTGTTGTGCTTCCTGGGCCCATTGGGCCTTGATTAGAGTAGTATGAGTCTATGGGTCGGGGGGTCCCTGGGCCATATACTCGATCACGAGTCCCTCACTCCTTTTGCCGAAAGGTACTTGAAGGAAAAGGAGTAATTGTGTTTGTCCTCTGCCGTTGTTCCGTTGTAGTTTGTAAAGTTTGTGAGTAGTTCGTTGTTTGCATGTTTCTGCCGAGGTCAGTCCCTCAGTTACCCACATTTCGGGACTTGAGGGACCATGTTTGCTGTTGTGGGAGTTTTTTGATATTTCTGTATTTTGATATTTTTCCCGAAGGGGTTCTCCAGTCCCCCACTCCTTGAGGCACTTGTAAAGTGGTGAAAATGAGTAGAGTAGTGCTTGCCTGCAATATGGAGCCGAGGGGTGACGCTTTTTGTTTCATTTTGGGGGGATGCCTCGTTAAAAACCTGACGTGCACTTTGTCACGGTGCGTCAAAATAAATTCAATACTAAACACTTATACGTAGTATAACGTAGTAGAGTTCGTATCCAAAGGGAAAGGAATATTTCTCTTTTTATGATACTTAGTAAATAAAAGGGGGGATTTGGATTGAGTGATTTAATTTAATTAAGAACTAAGATGAACAACCTATATGTGTTTAATTCAAAGATAAAAAGGACTTGGCATTGCTACTTTCCACTTGTTGATATATTTTAGTCGATCATTGTTATATCTATAACTTATTCCCTCTCGAATACTCAATTGGGGAGTATATCCACTTCATCGAGGGTAGTTATTAACAACGACCGTTCATTAATAACCCTTACTATTAATCAAATATAGAACAACGCCTTATACCGATTTAATAGTAGCATTTAATCTTTCTAACTCCTTGCTGAAATCAATTGAGATTGATAACCTCAACACAAGCGGTTTTGGTTTAACCAACAAAATTAATCCCTCTTAAGTTTATTAACCACGACCGTGCATTAATAAACCGAAGTTACTTACTTGTGAAACCATCAGCGATTAACCATCAGTTCGTTGATCGTTTCTAGTAATAATTAATATATGAAACAAAACTAGTTGATCCTTTAAGTAATGTTCAAAATATTAATATGAAATAAGAGTAGGAATTAATTAATATTCAAGGAAGAATATTATTAATGAAGATGAATCCTACTATAATTAATATCAAGATGTTAACTAATTGTCATCTTAGCAACACTCCCCAACATTAATATAGAGGAAGAAAATACCATTCTAACTAATGTCGAGATGTTAACTAATTGTCATCTTAGCAACACTCCCCAACATTAATATAGAGATGGTATTAAGGAAAGAACTATTAATCAATATTCAAGGAAAGAAGTTAAGAAAATAACTCACAACTTTAATAATCTACAAGCTTCAAGAGCAACACCAAGAATGGAAGTTTAGCTCCTCATTTGGAGACTAAAAATAGCTAGAAAAAATATAAAGAAATGATATTCTAAACTGAGCTAAAGAGAATGGAAGAAGGGATGATGAAAAGTGAAGGAAAATGGGGTTATTTATAGGTGTTTTCAACACCTAATGCCGGATACCCGGCCGGGTATTTTGACATACCCGACCGGGTATTTACCAAATCAAATATTTTCCCATGTTTTTGTGTCTTCTGCACGTTCTTTGGTCCGAAATCACTTCATACCCGACCGGGTATATGGAATACCCGACCGGGTATTTGCTAGTTTTGCAGCAGTTTCCTTTGTCACTTCATACCCGGCCGGGTAAAGTCCATACCCGACCGGGTTTTGCACAAAACTCAGGTTTCTTCATCCTTTTTGCTTCCAAACCTATCCTAAACTTATAGCCAAACTAACAACAACTTACAACAAACAATAAAATGCTAGAAATACGATTACAATCAAATGCAAACTAACAACTATAAACTTGCACAAAACTAGTAAATAAACATTACAAACAATAATAAAAATGTATACTTAGGCACTAACAACTAGTGCCTATCAAACACCCCCACACTTGAACCTTTACTCGTCTCGAGTAAATTAACACATGTCCATGAAATTTTCAAAAACCACAAGAGTAGCAGAACAACCATCCAACATTTTCTTCTTCTTTTTTTGATTATCTTCTTGCATAAATGGATATTTTTCTCTCATTCTCTCATTTTGCCTAGGAGCCTTTTTCAGGTTTTCATCCTAGCCTCTCTTTTTATTTTTTGTTTCTCACAACTCACTCATTTTAGCCACTTTTGCT